CTCAATGAGATTTAGCTTCGTTTAACTTCTACTCTTATAATTTTAGCTTTCTTTAATGATTATGGGTAACTAAACCCCAACCGTTGTTTGCATTGGTGGAACCCTAGGCAATTCTAGGGTTTTGAACTTTATGAATAAAATGAATTTTGGAGATATTTCACATGAATGGTTTTCTTTTGTGTTTGTTTATCCCTACCCTAATCTTAGGAAGCTAGCCTTAAGATTATGAATCTGCAAGAATCTATTACATATATATTCTAAGGCTCCAACTAACTAGTTAATTATAGTGAGAAAATAGCATTTTTAAAAGAACTGAACCGGATCAACGACTAGACTTGTAGAACCGTCAAACCAGTTACGATAGTGGTCGGGTTAATTGTTTGGACGGTTTTTGATGGACCAAACGGTTTTTCACGGTTCAACATAAAACTAGATGAAACACTATAGTTTAACTGGTCCACTAGTTCACTATTTTAACCACAAATTTTTTTAAAAACATACTTTAACATGAACTAACACCATTAAATCATAATTATTAATTTTATATCTGCTTCCTCTTCTCATTTTCCAACCTTGTTGTCAACTTTGTGTGGTCCACTATCAACTGACATCGTAATTTTTAATTTGAATTAAGAAATTTATGATTTCTCTTGTATGAGACAATTTGAATGATTTATTAGATATTTTGATGATGATACGAATTTGAAATTGTTTTGTGGGGCAGTAGTGACTAGTGTGATTCACTTTGAGACGCCATAATGCAACATCAAAGTTATACATGGTATATATAACAGAGGCCTGCTGCTTGCCCGATTCAGGGTTCGATGCAGAATTAACCCGTTCAAGCCAATTAAACCACATTGGTTTTCGGTTTTACGCAGCCAATCTAGCTCTACACAATATCCAGCTTTTTCACTACTTAACCAATAGATGCTGTGCTGTGTGCACTAGTGTTTGATACATACCACCATATGCTTGTCATGCTCAGATGAATGATTATGAAGGATCACACAAGAAAACTCAGTGAACAATGGAAAGCAACTTAGGAATTGGGATCCTTCTCTAAACATATATGCCAATAATAAATGAGCACAAGTATTTAAGAACGTTGGTATGGCGGCTAACTGATCAGAAAGAACACATCAATCTGACGAGAAAATTGAGATAACACAAAAGTACTCTTACATTCATAGATAAACTAGGATACCAACTTCAATGAAACATATCCTTCAAAATTAATTCGACGGAACACAGGAACAAGTACCCATAATCCCAATATTCGAATCCCATTGATAACACTACTTGGTCTCAAAACATGAACAAAACACCAGAAGATCCAGTCGAACACAGAAAATTTTCGGAGCAGCTTATCGCTTCTTGGACACACCAACAGTCTTTCCTCTACGACCAGTGGTCTTGGTGTGCTGTCCCCGGACCCTCAAGCCCCAGTAGTGACGCAGACCACGGTGGTTCCTGCAACCACGATAAGAAAAAGGAGCTAAATACCACATACAAGCACAAAATGGGAATGAATGTCATGCTTCCAAGGTTCAATCATATAACCAACCACAATAACCAATGGAAACAAACCTGATCTTCTTCAGCCTCTCGAGATCATCTCTCAGCTTCATGTCCAATGCATTGGAGACAACCTGGGAGTGTTTCCCATCTTTGTAATCCTTCTGCCTGTTGAGGAACCAGTCTGGGATCTTGAACTGACGAGGGTTTGCAACAATTGTCATAAGCTTATCAATCTCATCAGCAGACAGCTCTCCAGCCCTACATGAATCCCAAATATCAGAATATGAAAACCTCAACAGAACCTTATGATGCTTCTAAAGCAAAACAAGCACATAGACAGCCCAATGAAATACACCTCCCTGCCTAGCCTTAAAGAGTCCAATACCAATGAAAATTATCGAGAATAAACGCCCAGGAAAAGAGTAACCAAATCGAAAGCCATAGGTTTGCCTAATGAGGAGCAACAAAGAAAAGGGTAACCCAAATGAAAACCCTAGGTTTGATGCTCTAATAAGGGGGAAGACATCCAAGGGTTTCTGAATCCAGAGCAACAACGGGGAACACAACAATCTTCTCTCCAATTCATATCCTCAGAAGATAAACTGAGACACAGTATCAAAGCCACTTCTCATAAATCAAATTCAGCTCAAGTCAATTCAGAACATACAAGACTACTACATCAACCAAGCAAACAAATGAAACCGTGGGAAACAGAAAGAAACGGGAATCGGGACACGAAGACGCATACCTCTTGTTCATGTCTACATCGGCCTTCTTGCAGACGATGTTGGCGAAGCGGCGACCGATACCCTTGATGGAGGTCAAGGCGAACATGATCCTCTGCTTGCCATCGACGTTGGTATTGAGGACACGAAGAATGTGCTGAAACTCTTCATTGGCAACGAGCGACTGCAGCAAAAAAAATAAAATCAAATAGGAATCAGTGAACTAGTGGAGAAATCACCAGCTACCAAAGATCTCGACGAAGGAACACCTACCATGGCTGCCTTTGCTTAGGGTGTTCTCTCGCGTTCTCTCTTGCAAGTGGCGCCGCTGGAGCTCTTGAGCGTCGGAGAGTGATATTAGAGATGCACAGTCTGCTAAAACCCTAATGCACTTGGCTATATATATTTTCAAGCCTATTATACAACTCTTTCGGACTGGCAATTTTGGGCTGGCTGCTTAGGGCCGACTTTAGGTAAACCCAGTTCGTTGGTTTAGGCCCAACGTTCCCGCTCCGGCCGAACGCTACAAATCGCTAATATATTTTTATCATTTATCACTTTTTATTAAAATATATTTATCATTTCAAAAATACTAATTTCATTCTAATACCTATATTTTAAAATTTTTTACTTAATTTCTACAAAAGTTATACTAGAAAATAAGCCATGTGTAAATTGTATACTATATATTTCGTTATAATAAAAAATCATTAATAACTAAAAATAACATTTGTTTAATTTTTGCTTTATAATATATTTGAGAATTATTTAATAATATTCCTTGACAAAAGTAAACTAGAGAGAAGGTTCCAGTTCCTTGTCACATAGATTGCCAAATAAAATTTCGTCCCCTTCGTGGAATCGTCCTGGACTAATGGGAGGATTTTCCCCCATCCACGAAACCTCTCTAACAAACTCCAAGAGAAAAACATAGACATCTTTGACAACATTTCAGTAAGAAGAGAAACTATGGAACCAACTACAAGACTTGGAATTCAAGAATAAGAGATCTCCTAGCAACTGAACCCGGCCTTGAGAAAAAGGAAGTAAGGGAAGAGATGAAGAATACCTTGTGGCAAGACGAAATTCTATGGATGCAAAAGTCTAGGGAAAACTGGATTCTTGAAGGGGACCAGAATAGTTATTTCTTTCACACCAATACCATCAGTATGCACAAAAGAAACATGATTAGGGGTTGAGGGATGATAATGCACAATGAATCATGGATCCAAAAACCTTGCAAATAATGACGATGTATTTTATATGTCAAGGATGAAGGTGGCCCTCGTTAGAACATCCATGTGGCGTTTCCTATGGCTGTGGATCACCTACTTGCTTATATGGAGGAGGTCCGAAGAATGGTAATGGAGAATTGGAGATGAGTGGCTTCAAAACCCCTGAAAAGATGGCTTTCAAACAATCGTTTATTGAAAGTGTTGGGACCAAGTTGTAAACAAATACTTCAGCTTCGTCTCAAAATGCTATAGTGACCCAAACTTAATCAGCCAAGAAAATGAAACATTATTGGCCCTCATCCCTAAATTGGATGTCCCGGTCTCTATGAGCCAATTTTGCCCTATTAGCCTTTGTAATATTTCCCATAGAATCGTGGCTAAGTGTCTAGTTAACAAGCTAAAACTTATTACGCTCCACCTGATTCATAAAACCCATTCTAGCTTTGTCTCATATAGACATATAACTGATAATATATTCTCATTTTGCAGGATTCTGTGCATTCAACAATGAGTAAGAATGGAAAAACAAGAGTAATGCTTATTAAGATTGATCTAGCAAAAGCCTACGATCAAAATGGCTGGAACTTCTTGGAAGAGACATTGAGGATGGATGGAATCGCAGAGATCAGCATTAATATTTAAATGAAGTGTATCACCACCACAGAGATGCAAGTGTTGTAGCATAGATGGAAATCGAAAGCTTCAAACCATCAAGAGGTTAAGGAGTGGATTAATGTTACAGGTGAGTGGGATTGGGAACGTATTAGAAAATTTCTCCCTAATAAAATCCAACTTTAAAGTATAGGGAAGGACTTTACTAAACAAAAAGAGCGCACTAATACTGATGATTTTCTGTCGTTGATGGACACTTCCTTCCATATCCTTTGTTTTACAGCATGTCGTTGAAAGAAATTGCCAACAGTTTACTATCGCCAAGTCTCACTGTCTCTGTTAGAGAGTGGTATAAGATCCACGATTGGGGGCGTGTTAGAGAGTGGTATAAGATCCACGATTGAACCTCTCCCAACAACTCGAGTTATTGGGATCAACTGGTTCTTGACATGGTATCAGAGCCTAAAACCGAAAGGTCATGTGTTCGAATCTCCACGACCCCCAATATTAACTGTTGTCTTTCAAGCACATGGTATGGTGGGCCTGTGCCAACTTCAAGTCCATGGGTTGGCTTTCGTTTGAGGGGGCGTGTTAGAGAGTGGTATAAGATCCACGATTGGGGGCGTGTTAGAGAGTGGTATAAGATCCACGATTGAACCTCTCCCAACAACTCGAGTTATTGGGATCAACTGGTTCTTGACAGTCTCAGCTCCTAGAAACAACCCTGTTGTCATACAGCATGGAAAGAAAAGGTTCAGTGCTATCCTGTTTCCATCCTTGCCAAACAGTTCAAGTCATATGTAGACCGAGCTAGCAATTAGCATGCTGTCCTCGTCTGTGATGAAAAGTTCAGAACTTTGAGCTTGTATAAAACCCACATCAATTGTGAAGCTCTTTATGCCATGTCAGCTGTATGTATTCATTGTATTGTAAAAAACCAGGGGAACAGCTGGCAGACCAAGATCGACCCACTGCATAAACCCTAATCACAAAGAGATTCAATTCGACAATAACGGGTTTGTTTTTGGTTGACATGGGGTTTTGTTGAAATGGGGAGGAGACGATCTGCAGGGAGAGAGAGAGAGAGAGAGAGAGAGAGATCGCATCGGAAATTCGAATTAACGGCGACTAGCGGCGGGGAGAGACAGAGACGAAGCAGCAGATCTGAGAAAGATCTCCGCAAAAAGGGAGAGGTGCGATTCTAAAGTAAACAGGACAGTGAAAAATTAGTTAGAAGGACATTGCGATTTGCGACAGAATAGTAGTAGTAGTTGGCTTTCTGATTTGGCATTTCGTTCCCAAATCTCAACACACTTTTTTTTTCCTTCTTTTCTTTCAGCAATGGCCACCGAACCCAATCCAGCTTCCTTCCTACTCCTACTGTTACTCCTCCTGCTGCCGTCGATATTCGCCACCGGCAAGAAATTCCACATCACCGACGACCTCCGGGACGTGGTGGACGACGAGGAGGACGAAGCGTGGAAGGAATGGGGGAAGAAGAAGACCTCCGACGTGTTCGACCCGCCGCCCTCCGACATGTCCGGCATGGAGCTGGAGCAGATCCAGGAAGCGTTCATGAAGCGGACAATGGGACCCGTTTTCGGGTTCGTCAAGCTCCGACCCGGCGTCAAACGTACTCCGGTAAGCCAAACTTCTCATCTCTTTTAGGTTCCGATTCGCCGGACTTGTTAACTCCGGTGGTGTTGGGGTTTATTTTGTTCAGGATACGGTGGCGGATCTCGCTCGGAAATGGACCAAAATGCTGAGAGCTGGGGCGATGGAATTGAATCTCATGGGGATTGATCGAAGCACCATAATGTTCAATATGGCCGAAGGCCGCCGCTCCCTTGAAGTGAGCTTTCCTTTCCTTCTTTTTTCCTTCCCCTTCCCCTTCTCTGTTTCCTCTGTTTCTTGATCAGATTTTGGGCTTGATTCTCTTTCTATTTGCTTTTTTCTGGGAATCTGCTGCAGCTGAAGGAGTTTGTATTGAATCAGCCGGAGGCATACGAGATCAAGATCGGAGATAACTTGTTCAGGAGGAAAGGAGATCCGCCATTAGAGCAAGTCATTGAGCAGATCCACCGAGCCAAGAACGAAGCCTCTGATGGTACTAGTCACGATGAGGAGGTGGAAGAGAAGGAAGAGGAACAAGGAGAGGACCGCAAGGATGAACTCTAGCCTGTTTCTGCAACTCAGAAGCCAGCATCTATTAGTTTCTGAATGAACCTTATTGATGCAGCTGGTGCAAAGTGTTCTTCAAGTTCCATCCTTCTGTGTTAGAAGTGTATTTAGCTAGCTGTCATGAAAAAGTGCAGAACTTTGAGCTTGTAATAACTACATCAATGTCAAGCTCCTTCCTTTTGCCATATCAAGCAGCTGTATATCATGTCCAAACCAGCACATTGCCATCTAACATCTCAACCAAAAACCCATTTCTATCCTGGTACAGCTCTAACTTGGGTGGGATCTCCAGCAGTAGAGGTATACCTCTGGTGGAATCTCCAACGGTAGAGCTGTACGAGGATAAGAAATGGGTTTTGGGCTTTTGGCTAAGCAAAAGGGCGGCAGTTGTTTCAAGATCGAGCTACTTCTCAGCCATGGCCACTATTTTGTGTTTTGAGTACCAGAGAGATAGAAGAAGAAAGGCATTGGGTAGCTCTGCTAATGGGTTAAAGACACATTTGGTCACTGAGATTACAAAATCGGGACATGTTTAGTCACTAGAAAAAGTTAATATCAAATTTGGTCACTACAATTACTAAAACTGGACGCATTTAGTCACTCGCCGTTAGTCTCCGTCCAACTCCGTTAATGAAGTCCGTTAAGTGCTGATGTGGCAAACAGAATTGCCTAATCAGCCGGATATAACCCAACAAAAATAAAACCCGACCCGCCACGTCATTATAACCCGCCACCTCATTAAAACCAACCCAACCCAACTCATGATCCAACCCTACCCAACTCTTCTTCCTCCTTCCTCCCCAACCCAATTTAGGGTTTTCCCCATCCCATGAGAAGATCTCTCCGCCATTAATCTGCCGCCCTTCCTTCATCTTCTTGAAGCTCTGTCTTTTAGTCCAAGGGAGATAATGAGGCTCGACAAGGAAGTCAACAAGGTGACATCGGAGGCTCTTTTCCTCGTCTCGCGCTCCACGGAGCTTTTCCTTCAGTTTCACGCTGAGCCGAAGTCGCCACGGAGAAGAAGCGGAAGATTGTGAAGACTGAACACATCCGAATCTCCGTCAAGAGGCACCGACCGACCAACGATTTCCTCTTAGACTCGCTTCCCGCGCCGCCAGCTCCTCAGTTGCAGAAAGAGGATTCTGTAGGTCGTAAGCGCGAAGTTGCTAACAAGCAGCCACCGACTGGAACTCGCCGGACCGACGGTTTCTTTGCCAAATCAGCGAGCGGTGCTTCCGCTTGAGAATCGCCGGTAGATAGCTGATCCTTACCTAGATCTCTATTGTTCTACTAATTAGGTTCTGTTTGGATTGTAAGGTGATTTTCCTTCGAATTCCATATTAGGTATTTGAAATTTCGAATGCTTGTTTGTTAAGAGTTGATATCGAAGAACAAAGCTGTAAACTCATTTGTTAGGTTTACCAGAACTGCAACTTGACATCTTCATTTTAAGAATACATCAATATCAAAGAAACTATAACATAGACAATTTTTGCAAAAGTAATGGACATACGAGGAAAAGATTAATGGCGGAGAGATCTTCTCCCCGCTCAGCGAATTTGGATGGGATGGGGAAAACCCTAAATTGGGTTGGGGAGGAAGGAGGAAGAAGGGTTGGGTAGGGTTGGGTCATGAGTTGGGTTGGGTTGGTTTTAATGAGGTGGCGGGTTATAATGACGTGGCGGGTCGGGTTTTATTTTTGTTGGGTTATATCCGGCTGATTAGGCAATTCTGTTTGCCACATCAGCACTTAACGGACTTCATTAACGGAGTTGGACGGAGACTAACGGGGAGTGACTAAATGCGTCCAGTTTTAGTAATTGTAATGACCAAATTTGATATTAACTTTTTCTAGTGACTAAACATGTCCCGATTTTGTAATCTCAGTGACCAAATGTGTCTTTAACCCCTCTGCTAATATAGGTAAATCTGTCTCAAAGCAACTGTGGAAGTGTTACCATTAAAGGAGGTGATATTTATGACTTGGGGGAAAATGTGGAGTGGACAATAGTCCCTTAGACCATCTCTATCCAATTGCTTGTTGCAATTGCTTATTGGGTGGGATCCCATGTGGCAATGTCTTTAAGCAATTGCAAGAATGTGGGACTTATTTCTTATTTAGCAAGATTGTTAAATAAGCAATCCTTCTTGCAATGCGACATAGATAATTGGACCCACACATTATGCACTCAAAATCTTTTTTTTTTCTTTCTTTCTTTTCTACCCACTTTGAACACACAAATTGTTAAACTTAATATTTTTGTGCTTATGATTTGTTTAAGTTGTTAATAAATTATAAATCATAAATTATATTTTAATTATATTGAACATGAAAACTTATTATAAAGATGTATAGTTAATGATGAAGATCATGCACAAAACTAGAAAGAAATCACACTAAAAGTACTCACCATTCATATTACATCAAGAAAGCAAACAAATTTATGCAAAATACAAACCCACACAAAATTATTCAAGAACTTAATGAAAATCATACATAGGATTAGAAAATAATTAAAGAAAAGAATTGTTAAAGAAAAGAATATGTAGTAGGTCCCATCAATTGCAATTGCTAACCTATTGCAGAGATGTAGATGATTTGAAATGGTTGAAGTGAATAATTGCTAAAGTTGCTAATGTTGCTGTAGGGTCCACTTATAAAATTGCTATTCTATTGCAGGGATGAAGATGGTCTTATCATCGGTCACATTTGTAACTTGTAAGAAGACAGAGAAGGAAAATGAAATGACCAAACGAATTCCCATAAATAAAAAGGGTTAATACCTTGTTATGGCCTGAACTATGACCATGTAATCAACTTTGGCCAGTGGTTTGAGAAATTAACATCCTGGCCCGATCTATGCAGCATATTGACAAAATTGGCCTGGAGCGTGGTTTGACCGTTTGTTTGGACGGTCAACACCGTTGACCGTTAGTCAACTGTCCAGGTCACTGCCATGTCAACATAAAAAAATTACAATTTCATTTTTCTTTTTATTTCATTTACAAAAATTGAATAATTAAAAAAAAAACAAAATCCAAAAATTTTGGCCCACCCATCCCCACCTTATCCCCTCACCTTCTTTCCTTTTCGATTAAACCCAACCCTATTCCATCTTCTTCCTCCTTCTTAACAAATCCCTTCTTCCCCAACACAGAGCGACTCATCCCCTCTGAACCTCCGCCGCCGCGCCGCCGTTGCGGCCACCGCCAGATGGCGTCTCTCGCTTTGACCACTTCCTCCTCCTGCTCCCTCGCCTTCAATTCCCTCCCTTCTCTCAAATCCCGCCGCCCGCCTCTCGTCCCGTCTCCCCTCCCTCTCCTCCTCCGCCTCCGTCGCCGCCGGAGGAAGATTCTCCTTCTCGCCCCTCGCCACTCCCTGCCTCCTCAAATCTAATGCCTCCCTCCGCACCTTCAGAATCCGGGCATCCTCCTCCGAAACTCCAGTTCCCGTTCCCGCGGCGGTGCCCGCGCCAGCCCCGGTGCAGCCATGGCAAGGGGCGGCGATGAAGCCGCTGCTGGCCTCGATCGCTACAGGAGTCATTCTCTGGTTCGTCCCCGTACCGGAAGGAGTGACCAAGCAGGCGTGGCAGCTCCTCACAATTTTCCTCGCCACGATCGTTGGAATCATCACGCAGCCGCTGCCGCTAGTCCTGCAGGCTGCAACTGCAATCCCAAGCCTGCCAGCCAGTACAAACAAGAAGAAGAAGATCTCTTCTTTTGCTCTGAATTATTTCTTCTTTCCATTTTATCTACAAGAAAAAGCAAAGTGGGAGGGGAGGCGAGGGGACCATATATGCTAGCTAAGCTGCAAGTCTGTAACAAACTAATAAGATGAATCCACTTTCAGGATCTCTCTCTTCACCCCAGTTTTTGTTTTTCCTTTTTCCCCTTTCTGGAATCTACACAACAACTAGCAGTACCTGCTACACAGAAACCTCCATCGCCGATGAGTCGCTCTGTGTTGGGGAAGAAGGGATTTGTTTTCGTCGGAGGGAATGGAGGCGGCGGCTCGTCGGGGAAGAAGGACGAAGAAGATGAAATAGGGTTGGGTTTAATCGAAAAGGAAAGAAGGTGAGGGGATAAGGTGGGGATGGGTGGGGCAAAATTTTTGAATTTTGTTTTTTTTTTAATTATTCAATTTTTGTAAATGAAATAAAAAGAAAAATGAAATTGTAATTTTTTTATGTTGACATGGCAGTGACCTGGACAGTTGACTAACGGTCAACGGTGTTGACCGTCCAAACAAACGGTCAAACCACGCTCCATGCCAATTTTGTCAATATGCTGCATAGATCGGGCCAGGATGTTAATTTCTCAAACCACTGGCCAAAGTTGATTACATGGTCATAGTTCAGGCCATAACAAGGTATTAACCCAAATAAAAAAGATTAGTACTGAATAAAGGCTTTTTAGATTTGGTTATTAGAGTCCTGTGGTTGGATATGAGTGTCAATTGTCAAACTGTCAACGACTTGTATTTTCAAGAACAGGAGGTTTAGACCCATATCATATTTTTTCTTTCTAATCTTCACACAAGAGTAGCTTATTAGTAATCACAGGTGGCTGGCACAGATTTGCATTTACCAGGTACCTTGCTTCCTGTACAGATACTTTAGTGCATGTTTTGGGAACTGATCAATGAGGCATTTTAGTATGCTATATAGTACCCATGCTTTAATATACTTACAGCCATTAGATCTTGTTATAAAATATCAGCCATTGGATTGAAGTTATTTAATTATTATTATTTTCATTTGTTGGACTGGTAACCTGTTGCACCGGTTCGTTACACAATAATTTAAAAAAAATTGAAATCCAGTCGGGGTAAAGGCCACCTTCGATCGGAATTCAGAGCTTCTCACCTCTTATCACACCATCTTCGACCATCGCACCCACGGCTGTTTACTCTTCCTTCGATCCTCTTCCTTCGATCCTCTCCACGCAGCTAGCGAGCCGGATTCCGACGACGACAGTGAAGGCGGCGAGCAGTGGGTGACGACGAGTAGAAGAAGCTTGTCGATTGCAGCATCTCTTTGACTGCGGCGAGCCGGATTCCGACGACGACAGTGAAGGCGGCGAGCAGGGGACGACGAGAGCGAGCATCTCTTCGTCGATTGCAAACGAAGACCCTCTTCCCATTGATAGCAAACGAAGACCCTGCACAGAACCCCCTCTTCCCATCGATAGCAAACGAAGACCCTGCACAGAACCCCCTCTTCCCATCGATAGCAAACGAAGACCTACCTCCTCCACCGCAACTTTTT